GATTCGAACTCAGGACCTGTTGGTCTCGCATGCGTGCGCCTGACCACTAGATCATTGAGCCGGCCGGCATCCAACAATGTTAATGTCTAACTTCAACTAATCCACGAAATTAACCGACATATCCACTTTTGTCATAAGTGTGTTACTATCACAAGAGACCCGGATGAACTTTTCTGGTCACTGCTTCACAATAGAACTCCAGGATATACCTCTTTAAGTCAGTCGGAACGGCAGTTCAGTGCTTACACGTTTTCAATGGTGATCTAGCTTCAATTGACTCATGATCTCAACTATGGAAATTACTATAATATCCACAAAATAATCGTTTAACTTTCCTCCGAATGTCATACAATAATGTAAATAATGCTAGTTACCCTCATGGTTTCGGTTGAATATCCTACTAATCAACTTCAACCAGCATTTTATAAAAGAGTATGAATGCACTATATGGTTAACACACATATACATATAATTAATTAGTTTAAGTAAATCTGAATAAATGAAACAATATTGCAATATGGGTATCAATAGAAAGTAAATATTATATAGAATGAAGTGAAGGATACCTTTGTTTGTAATCGTTCTTGCCTGATTCTCCATATTGTCCGATTTTAAATATTTGTAGAGCAATATACATATATAACATCATATATAATAACAGTCTAGTGTTTCAGTTTATTGACATTTCAGGAATCATTCTGTTCAACTCCTTAAGTTTACTTCAGATCCAGTCTATTCTGTCATACCTTTTTATATGGTATTCTGATGTTCTCTTTAAAGAATAGTAGATCTACCTATGTCTAATGTTGTAAAATCCGGTATTAAAAATTCCACTTAGGCATTAATTATTTAGTTAGTTAAAAATTAATAAATTTAGTCAATGATAAGTATATCACTTATCTCAGATACTTTAAAATTGATTCGCCTGTACAAGTTTCCAATTAATGAAATGTATAATATCAAAATGGATGTTTGTAGAGATTTTAATAATTTAATAGTTGAATTCATAAGTCAGTTAGAGTTAGACCACCATGAAAAACCTGGAAATATTGGACGGCCTTTTCACCCTAATATGGAAATGTTGGTTTCTAATCTCGTCTATGGGATTGTAGATACACACTGTTGAGGAGTCCCACAATAGGACGAAACAATCTTCAATTGCTTCCAGGTTTTCCATGGTGGTCTAGCTTCATGCATTCAACTATTGAATGTAGAATAACTAATGTTTTTTTTATTCATGAAAAAAGCGATATTATCCGCTACACTTTAAATTAATATCTATTTTTTATCCAATAATGATTAATCAGCTATGCAAATTATATAAAATGATTCAATTGACTAATTAATGTATATATATATATATATATATATATATATATATATATATATGATTAGAGTTATTTGTCGGATCCGCTTCTCTTCATCTCTTCTTTTGGTTTTCAATTAAAACTTTAATGATTAGCTACAATATGTTACATATCTAGACTGTTTTTGTTTTGTTTTGTCTTTTGTTTCATTCCTTAACTAATTGTACTTTTCAAAGTTTAATTTTGATTTAGAAATTTATTGTTTAAATAAAGTTACTCAGTTAAAATAGGATGTTATAATAGTAACACTTGAAATAGAGTCAATATTCCTACATGATCTATTCAATAAAGAAACAAATTGATTTACTATGGGTTGGTAGCTATGACATATTATTGACTTCATTTGTTGGTGAAAAGATCGTTTGTTTGTTTGTGTGTGTGAGGGAGAGAAAGAGAAAGGGAGATCGTTTGTGCTTTCCGATAGTTGATTTCCGGTTACGATATATGCTAATGAAATGAATATGGAAAAAGAAATCATCTACCGATATGAATATTACATATGGTATTCATAGAATTCTGTGTGCATTTTTTTTCTGAAATTGCTTATTCCTGACAATACTGTGAGAGGAACTCAGTACTTCATCAGTTAGTCAGGTATAATCCACATAGAGCCTGAAATAAATGTTTATTATCCTAAAATTCCATATAGTATTAGCGCGATGATACGAGATAACTAAATATGAACATCAAAGTAGTCACAAAAGACATGTTAGTGAAAAAAAGTAAATACTGGATGTTTCGAGTAGACAGAATAAAAAGATAAGCATGGAGGATTGAACGAAAAACTTTAGGTCGATGATAAGATAAAGATATGATGCTTTGAACCAGTCTTACCGATTACGAGTCACATCGCTCAATATTTCCAATCTCATTAACCCTAATAAGATAGTCTGAATCTATCAACGTGGTCGAGCCACGTATTGCGTATGACTTAACTGCGATTTTCACGACACACAATACTGACTAGTGTTAGAGACGGTTAGAAGAAAGTTAGGGGTGGCCAAGCCAAAACGTGACATCAGTCCTTCAAGTCACGCACCTCTAGTCTTAGCCATGTTTGTAGATGCACACTACTTGATTGGCCTCCACGTAACTATCGTAATCAATGGTTGGAGACTGTGTGTGACATGGCTCAGAATCGATCAAAATGGTGTCGGTGTACATATACACTATCTGTCTTCCCTTAAACTATGAGATTAAGATCACTTCATATCTTTCTTTCTACAAACTAATTCTTTCTTCCTGTATTATATCTTTATATGCAGTCTTTGTTTTATATATTGCCACCAGTGAATTAACTACTTCTATGAATTCGGTGTTTATCTTGTTGTGCTAATGAGTGAGGTATGGCAACGTGGACAGATGCATATATCTGCCTGGTCCTCTGTTGTAGTTGGCTGACTGATTAACGTGAATTTGTTCGGCATGCAATGATCTCATGGACTGATGTTACTCATTATTTTGGCCTCCTTTATTTTTTTCCGAATGACGCCTACATGTAATATCGCATTTCCAGATAGGAGGTAGGTGGACATACATAGCACATGTTCAAGATACCTTAGTTGATAAAATTTCACAACGACGCCAACCATTATATCATTTTCACCAATTATTTTATGTCCAACTTCAGTATTCTCAACTAGGTTATTTCACGATAAGTGATAAATGCTTGGAAGACACATGTTTTCAAATTTCTACAACTCATGCATCATCTAAACATACTCACATACATTAGTCTCAATAAAAAGATAGACATATTTTTCAAATTTATTTATGCGTTCCAAATTACTCTACAAGTAACAGACTTTCGACCCAGTGATTCGAAGATAACTAACGCATCATCAGAATTTTATATTCTCACTCAATGCAGTGTAAAATATCGTCTGTGTGCATCTAATGATCTAAAACCAAGCAGTTATTCAAATACTTTTAGTTTCAGCAATTCTATGAATGCTCTTGTTAATAATTATGAACTTTTAAAATATCATACAAAAAGAGTTTGTTCAATCAATTTGTATTTGAGCAAGTTTATCCATCAAATGTATCATTCTAATTTGTTCAGATATTTTGTAGGTTTTCATGTGTATCCATCTTATCTAAGACCTTTGTAAATTATAATAATATACATTTTGTTGTGTTCTTGGCTAGTGAATGTTTATTATCTACACTCCAGTTTTTCTATCTGTAGTTTATACATGATTTGCTTAAAGTAAAGATTGAGTCTTCGTGTATTCACTAGTTTCAGCTGTAGTACCAATATCCGTATCTACTTTATTTTTCTCTACCTGGCTGCAGTGTATTCACAAGTATGAAATGTATGTTTGTATAGCTTCGATTAGGAAAAACACGAGGAAACTTATTTATGCATCAGTATTGTCGAATTTTTTTGTTTCCGCATTGTCATTTTCACGATAACCATCTTAATATGTTGAAAACAATGAAAGTTAGATTTACATTCATCAAATTATGTCAACTATTTCTTTTTTTTAAATTGAGATTGTCAGTGGTTTAATATATATACATTCCACTCAGTTGATGTTCCTTCCGGAAATACCATACCATAAATTGACATCAGAATATTACTTTAAGTAGAAGGAATCATTTTATAGTTTCTTAATATATTGAAATAGAATGATATTTGATGGGGATTTGCTCTTAAAATAGCATTAGAAGAATGAAGTTTGGTGTAAGTGAATAGAAAAGTTTAACAAGCATTAGTGTTATGATTTAAAGTTACAAGTCAGAATTAAGATTTAGGACTAAGAGTCAGGGTTAATATTAAGAGTAGTGATTCGGAATTAAGTAAAAGAATGTTTTGTATTCATATGGATGAATATTTGCTCATTGATCTTTAATAGTAAGAACGTTGAAGCTATCTATAAAATTCTCAAATCAGTATTCTTATTCTTTAATGTTCTCATGTTTGCCAATTTTAAAAGTTAGTTTTGATGACTGTTCATGCGAAAAATTGGTTTGCTGGTTAACCGATTTCATTCATACTGGTGGTTGCTTTTCAGTGTTCCCGAGGGCTATTGTCATTGGGACATTGTAAGGCATGTCGCCATTGCTAACATTAATGAGTTTGACTGTCGTGTAAGCGGAATAGGTCAACTCTGGCCTGTTCGTGCTGTGCATAATTGACTCACGCGATCATTGATCGGAATAACTATACATATGACGTGAATGTGTATATGAATGGTGCGAATGGTCCACTAGGCTGCTTGGTACCTGTGTGGTTGCGCCACAGGATTGAGCTGTACTATTCAGATTGTAACGTTAAAGCCTATACAGTGTCTAGTTCTCCTGTTAAATGGGATTGAGCTGTCCTGTTTAGGTTGTCACGTGAAAGTCTGGATGGTGTCTGGTTTTCCTGAAAACCAATGTAAAATTACCCTGGCCCACAAGGGTACATTGCATATATGAGTATTGGTGGGTTTAATTTAACTTTTTAATAAGATACAAACTATCTGCCGACGCACTTTTAATTATGAGCTAAAATTCAAGTCTCTAACTTGAATCCGACTGGTTCTTCAGTAAGATATACATTTTTATCTATCTTTTGAGATTGTAGTTTATCATCGTTGTTAAATTATATTATTATTATAAGCATTAGTATTTTTTTTAATTTCCTAGGTAAACCATTACATTGTTGGGTACCACAAGAATTCACAAGTTCATGGGAAGATTATGCTGAAAATATTTGTTGGGTACAAAATACTTATTTTCTTTTACCAAATGAAGCTATACCAGAAGATGATTTTGAAATGTTAAGAGTACGACATATATCATATTATCAATGGGTAGCAATTATATTAGCTGGACAAGCTATGATGGCATGGGTACCGCATGTATTATGGCGAGTTTGGTCAAAACGTGTACCTGTTCTATTAAAAAATGCACGTGAAGCTGCTGTACCTGATAAAGAAGTAAGACATAAAGCTATTAGTTGTCTTGTAGCTGCATTAGAAGAAATTTCTGAAGCATCAAAACGTTATCGACGTACTCGGGGAATATTTCAACGTTGTTTAGGTGGTCCACCACCGACTACACGTATTACATTATTATTTCTAATTGTACGTATATTTTTTATTGCAAATAATATTGGACAAATTTATGTTATGAAACATTTTATTGGAACAAATGATACATTATTTGGTTTACATGTATTTCAAGAATTATTAGTTGGTAGTGAATGGGAAGTTAGCGGTTTATTTCCACGTGTAACATATTGTGATGTAAAAGTTAGAAAATTGGGACAATTAAAACCTGCATCGTAAGTTCTATTAAATTACATTTTATTTGATTTCATTTATGTTCTTTGTGTTATTTCTAATTTAGTTTGTTAAAGTTCAAATGAGACTTGAAGTGGAATTTATGAAATACATATTGTTCTCTTTTATCATTTTGATGTACTTACATCTCAGTGTAGATAGTCTCAATCTCACTTAAACCCAGAATGTTTCCAATACCAGGAATAATCCAGCCATACTTGAATTTGTGGTTTAATGATAATATCAAAGATATCCTTTCAGAAAGTACGTATCCTGATAGAGACAAATAAAAAAAAACATACAAATCAAACTGTTATAGGTAATATGTTATGTCTCCAGCTTGCACGATTATTGTGAAATACGATTGCCAAATTCAGGTACGCTGAGTTATACGACTTAACTAATGACGCATTTACCAGTACGGACAGCTTAGAATTCCGATTGGTCTTCTCTTCGCCTTGCCCTGCCTGTTAAGTTCAGAACACTAATCTCAAACTTTGCGATACTTGTTATATATTCCAAACATACTGGGTTTATATACAAGTAATATCAGACCACATCACACCATAAAATAGAAAGCAACATTTGTACAAGATCAAGATGAGAAGTGTCTGTGATTGTGAGGGACTGTTACTGAGATATTGGGAATATCTAAAGAACAGTAAATAATGGAGTTCAACCAGGTCTGTCGTGAGATATCAACTCACTGAAGACAATGGTGTACGGTGGCGCAACCTCGTGGATTGGTTGAAGTTAGACATTAAAACCATTGAATGACGGCTCAGTGGTCTAGTTGGTTAAGCGCCTGGCGCAAGACTGATAGGTCCTGGGTTCGAATCTCGCGGGAGGCGGGATCATGGATGCGCACTGCTGAGGAGTCCCATACTGGGATGAAACGGCCGTCCAGTGCTTCCAGGTTTTCCATGGTGGTCTAGCTTCAATTGACTCACGATTTCAACCAGTGAAATTTCTAAAACAAAAGATCTCCACAAAACCCATTCTGATAGTATGATAATAGTCAATAGGTCAAATAAAAGCTTATAATAAGAGAAATATCAGTATGAATAGTTTAGTATCTTAACAGTTATACAATAATATTAGTTCATAAATAATTCTTAACATTTACCATTCATTTATTCTCTTCCGGATATGACATATTACTTAGAATTTTTTTAAGTTTAACATGACTTAGTGACAGTGGACAGAATTAATTTACACTACGGAACGATTTTAGGTGGATAAATATTAAAAACAAGGAAGAATTAGAAAGCGTATGAGTGTAAGAAGACTTTGATAATTCCTACAAACAGTAAACGGAAATCCGGAAAATGTTAAAAATACTCCGGCTAAACAACATTTTTCAGAGAGTTTCATTAGATTTGTCTCATGCCAATTCGGTAGTTAACAGTTTGTTATACTTTCCAGAAGCTTCTACAATAAATAGATTACATAGAGTCCTAAAATTAATCACATTTCTTTTTACATAAGCTTGCTTCCGAAATACGTTTCCACCAAGAACTCACGATTTCAGTTTACTATTTAAAGACATATATGAGGTTGGGAATTCAATGCATAAGCGTTCAAATACAAAGTATATCACCTAGTTTCATAAATCGAATCTGATGTGACATTTATTCATAATATACATTCACTTAAATACTTCAGGTTAACTATCGTTTACTTTCGATCTAACATCTAATCATCTGTACAAAACTACACACTAAGTCATATTTGAATATTTCACATTGGAAGTACAATAACAAGTTTCAAAGTGTAAATACATAACGGGTCCTAGGTATATCGACTAAATATCTTTCTTCTCGACAATCATGTTTTTTTTTTAATCGAGAAATATTTATTACTGATAGGTTATATTGTTCATGATGAAATAACAAATTCTATTCACTTATCATTAATATTGTGGGTTGAAATGTATTGAAATATTGTAATGTTACTTGATGATGAGATGGATTTTTGTGTGTTTTGTTAATCAGAGTATGTTTATAATGTACAAAAATCTACTTTTACAAGTGTGTCTTTAGGTAGTTTCTACAGTAATAATGTTTGCAAACATTATAAGCGATGAATAATTATCATTATTATTCACTGGTGAATTGGATTGTCATTTTCATAGGAACTATAATCATAAGAAGAACATTTATGAACTTTTCACTTTTGAAAAATACATAGATCTATTCATGGACAATGTTTGAGCTTGCAAAACGAAATATATATTTCATTTATGCTTGTACAATACTGATAGAAATTGTGATTTATAGTGAAATATGGGATGCGCGGGTTTATTCTTGTTAGTTTTTTTGTGTCTGGATACCAATGTTCACATTGAAAATCGAATCCAACACGAACGAGTTGTTTATTTTACGGGCATTTAATCCAAATAAATTATTCAAACTCTATAAATATGTTTATGTAACGATTTTAGGCACTGGCTGTATAGACAATACTTTAACGCTTGATGCAATTGATATCAGATTCGGGTTCCCGTTGCTAGTTACCATCACAATGTTACAAGTTTAAAATGTTTACTGAATTGTGCTTCTTTCCATTCACTTCGACTAGAGACTGGCTTTGGATTATTCTTGAATATCTTGTTCTTTGCGGCTAATTTATAAATATATAACTATAATAGTTCCTTCTTCATAAGGAATACACTTTCTGCCTGCCATAGTCTTTATTCCTATTTTACTTATGAATAGATAGAAATACTTGACCTGGTTTCTTTATGATTTCCATTGACTATTACATAATATGTAATTAATCTCTCTTCACTTATCATACCTGTACTATCTCATTAGTCAAATCAAAGGTCTGCTTTATTCTTCTACTCAATTATAACACTGATTACTAATTACTATAAAAAACATAATCATACAGATGATCACTCACACTCGGTGTGGCTAAACGGTCATGTCCGTGAATGTTGACGAAATCGCATGAAGTTGGTATCTAACAAGGAACATTCATGTTCGCCCTTATACAAATATGTCTTCAAGCGTTCACTTGATATTAATAACTGATTACAATAATAGATACTAGTTAACTTACTAGCCAAATTAGATATTAACACCTTTGAGCAACTGTTTAGTAGTCTAGAGGTCAAGCGTTAGCACATGAGACTGGATTCGATTCTTGCACAAGGAATCATGAATGTTTGCTGTTGAACCGTTCCATACTAGCACGAAATGACTATTCCAAGCATCCAGGTTTTCAATAGTGGTCTAAATTTGATCAGTTCATGATTTCGATGAAAGTTAATTTGTAGTTGATTAATCCATGAGTAGTGATCTATGTAATACTTGTCTAAACTTCTAGCGTTCCAATTCTATCCATCCAATATATTTCGACATTAAGTGTTTCGTTAAGGTTAGAGATAAGTCATATTAACAAACTTTAACTACTACGAAAACTAGATCCTTTATTTCTGTTTTACTATTTCAAACCATGTAACATGTCAACACACTTTAATCTATAAGTAAATCAGTCAATACATCATTAATAAAAGATGGTGATATTGTCGTATTGTGCGATAATGCCCAAGGCATGCAATCCACACTTAATCAGTTGGCAATCAGTGTCCGTAGGTATGGTATGTACTTTGCACTTCGAAGGTGCAAAGTACTTCTACAAGACTGGCAGGATTCTAATCCTGTACTCACCCTGGATGGTGAGCAGGTAGAAGTAGTCGAGAAGTTCGTGTATCTGCGTAGCTGCATAAGTGCTGGTGGTGGCGTGAGTGATGAGATCAATACACGTATAGTGAAAGCCAGAGCGGCTTATGCCAATCTGGGCCATCTTCGGCGCCTTCGTGATGTCAGTTTGGATGTAAAAGGTCGGATCCACAACGCGTCGGTGAGAGCAGTTCTGCTCTATGTTTGTGAAACCTGGTCTCTCCAAGTTGAAGATGTTAGACGACTCTCTGTGTTTGATCACCGTTGTTTCCGAAGGATTGCTGACATCCAGTGGCAACACCATGTCAGTAATGCAGAGGTTCGGCATCGTGTGTTCGGGCACAGAGATGATAATTCAGTTGGTGTCACCATCTTGAAACACCGACTTCGGTGGCTTGGATATGTTCTACGAATGTCGTCCCAGAGAATCCCACGTCGTGTATTATTTGCCGACTCTGGGACTGGTTGGAAGAAGCGGAGAGGTGGTTAGTGCATGACATGGTGTCGTGGCATGAAAGAAAGCTGCAAAGGACTGGCTTATGTTGGTCCTTCACGACTACCTGTCTGGGGTTCGAGAGATGGTGCTTCATAGTGGCTAGTGACGTTATCAGATATGGCTGGTTGTGCCTTTCCATTCCTCCATTATTAATATTATTAATGCACTACCTTACACCAATCTGTTCGTTATTGTTCTCTTTTTCTTTCACACACCTTACTTTTTTTTCCTTCTCTTTAAATTCTCATTGTTTTGTGTGGTGCATATATATTTGGTTCCCTCTTGTACCAATATTTATGTGCTCAAATAAATAAATAAATAAAATAAAAGATGAGCATTCAAGACTTTATTACTGTCATTTTAAGTTAGTTCGGTACTCATTTCATCAATCTTCAATGGTAAGAAATTGTGGTAGTAATAATAATAATAGTAATAACATTTTGTCCTACAATCAAAAGTGATAGCAACAAAAAAGACGCAGCAAATGTTTAGGTCATACTGATTTGTATTTATTAAAAGGAAATGATAACTACACCAAAGAAATAATTTGTCTTTTTGTCTCCCATCTCTTACTTAGATCTAAAATGTACCAAAATAAATTTTTTTAAAAATTACTTTCATCTTTTCTGATGTTCTACTAACCTTGAATGTTTATGTCATATATGTATATTACAATATGTTTACACCACCTTTCTCTTTTTCTCCCCCTCCCTCCTGTTTCTCTTTTCATTTACTCTATAATTTAATCTATATGATATTCATCTATTCAGTTAACTTTTGGCCTAGTTACTATTCCATCTTCGGTTGTATCTTACCA